CATTCATGCATTACCTAAAAATCCTTATTCTAAGATCAAAGGAGAATCAAGATTTCTAACCCACTACAATCTGGCTGCAAAAATTTAAACACATCCCAATTTCAGAGATGCAAAGTGTGAAAAATTTGTGTCATAAAATCACTTTATATCATTTTATACTCTGCTTTTGAAAATAATAGCATAACATTTTTTCATATGACTAAGTTGATTATGACTCATTTTTAAAATAATTTTTATCAGAGTGATTGTTTAGTGGTTGAATATTCCACCTACTAAATATCCCAAGTTGCCTAAGTATTCCCATATTTTAGACATTTTCTTGCACCCAGTCTTGCTGTTATAAATTATGTCACAATGAATATTTACGTACAGATACCTTGTGGTAGACACTGCTAGGTTATCTATCCCAAATCCATTTTCCCCTCTTCCTTGCTAACAGAAACCTAGTTCTGTTGAGATGGTTGTGGTGCATCTAAGCTGAGAGGTCAACAATCTCATTTCCTGCTTTCTTGGCATCCCTTGTCAGTAGTGTGGCTAACAAAAATCTAAGGGAAGGTGAAAGCTTTGCTTTACTAGTACAAGGGATAGATACAGCAATGCCACTTCTGCCCCCTCTTGCTGCCTTAAACACAGAAGAGATGTCTATGAAGGCAAGGTATCATCTCCATTTTACAGATGAAGAAACTGAGGCACGGAAATGTTGAGTAAATTACACATGGTCATACAGCTGTCAAAAATAACATTCTAATCCAGAGCCTGGCTTCAACATACTAAGAATGACAAAGCAGAAAAGGAACCCAAGATCTTTTTTTTTAAGGATCTGAACCTGTGCCTTGGGGTTATCAGCACCGCACTGTCCCGAGTGAGCCACGGGCCGGCCCAGGAGCCCAAGATCTTGATGGCATCACTGAGCAGCTGAATCCAGGCCATCAAACATCCACCACCAGACTTAGGTGAGACAAACTCCAAAATGGTTAGAATATTTTTAGATGCATATTCTTTTACTTACAGTAAAACACAGCCACAAACATAGCTCTTGCCAGATTTTGGATAATTTTCTTTGACTAGACTGTCAGAAGTGAGTTTGAGTCAAAGGTTGTAGCTATGTTTTAGGCTCTTGGTACATACTACAGATTATTTTCCTGAAGAATTTTACTAGCAGCACTTTTACTAACATAGGTGTTGCTGGCTAGAGTCAGAGAGGGTACCAAACAAAGGATGATTCTAGCACCCAGTCAGTAAACTGGGGAAAGAGTAATTAAGAAGGTGAGATCAACAACTCTTCTGGAGCATTTTCAAATAATCTTTGCCTTGGTTTAAGGTGCATTCCCCTTCTAATTATAAAGAAATTACACAAAAGTTAGTCTCAATGTACTTTTATTGCCGCCTCAAATAAAGTTACTTTATTTCTTACACAATGACATAAGTAAAAACATGTATGGTATAAAAGATTCAGAAATTAAAGTAGAAAGAAAAAAACCCCCTGCCTACTCATGATCCCAATGCCAGAGAAAACTGTTTAATATTTGGCATATTTCCTCTGGGGCTTTTATTATCCCCCATTTTCTTACATGTATAATTGGGCCATACTATAAATACTTTTTATTTTGTTCTTTCCATTTACAATAAGAATTTCCCATTGCAAACATTTTAATGACTGCATAATATTCCATCATGTGGATAAATCATAGTTTATTTAACCACTTCCATATTGAGATTTGACTTACAAAACAAGCAAGTAGAATCTGCAGAAGGAAATAAGATAACCACATAAGGAGTGCCCTGTACAAATATAAGTTTATGTTATTTAAATAGTACAGAATTAGTTGTGCTCTCTGCTTTTGTTTGCATTTTTAAACAATTGTAGACCAAAGACTCTCCACTACGAGAGGAAAGATTATTTCCAGAACCTTCATCTTGTAAGAGAAAAAGCTCGAGCTTATTGCCTTACCTTCTTATTCATATTCAAGATCTTTCTTAAATCTCATAAAGTATATTCCAAAAATACATAAGCAATAAATGAAAGAATGTCACTGGGTAGAACTATATTATCTGTATACAGTTTAAAAATGTGTTATCTAAAATAGTTTGAAGAACAGAATATTCTGGCTAATTAAACATTCTAATCAGAACTGAGTTACAATGCAATACTCTATATAGATTATAAATTTTCAAATAATTAGGGTATAAAAAAATAGAAACAAATTTATATTAACCATAACCTTTTAAAAACTATACCAACTTTTAAACCATTACTTTTCTTTAACGGTTCAGGAATGCATTTCCTACTGTTGCCTTCTTCATCATAAGCATCAGTTTGTTAGCAAACAGGCATTTCACCCTCCTGCGAGCTGAACTCCTACTTCCTTAGGATGCCCCCAGCCCTATGCTGTGTCTTTCTTTTTTAATTGACAAAACGATATATATTTATGGTATACAATGTGATGTTCTAAAATATGTATATATTGTGAGATGACTGAATGAAGACAGTTAACATATCCATTACCTCACATACTTATTTTTTTGTGAGACTGTCCCTTTTTGATAGCTCTATAAGCAGCCTTGTATTATAAAGTCATTTTGTAAATCTATTTCCTTCATTGGATTTAAAGTTTCTATATAGCACAAACATTAAGTATGTAACCCACACAGCATCTAGCAGAGTGTTTTGCACATAGTGGGCATTCGATATACATTTTTATACTTCAAATTAGTTCCCCCCAAAATAGATATTAGGGGTAAAACAAATATTTGTAGCAACTGTAATTGTCGTTTTCATTTCCAGTAAATTAAGCAAAAATAAAATAACAATATAGATATCTAATCTTTGATGAGAAATTTACTGAAAGCTTACTTTGTGGCAACCTGCTAAGTGCTTATAAATATTAGCTCTCAAAATTCTCAGAACAATCAATGAGATAGGTGTACAATATTTACAGACAGAAAACTGACAGCCAGGGATTAAATCATGTATTCAAATATGTCCTGAGCACCTATATATATTAGACACTGAACTAGCACTGGTAATATAGCAAAGAACAGACACAAATTTCTGCCTTATGAGGAGTTTACTTACGAGTGAAACTTGTTAAGATCACATAGATAATATATTGGCATTCTGGATTTATACACCACTTTTACGTATTATGGGCTTAGACAAAGTGATTTCATCCCTGAATGGATTCATTCTTAGTGATGACAAAAATTTGAGAATGAAAAGCTCAAATTCAAACACTGATGACTTCTTCAGTAAAAGTCACCCTGCAAAGTCACTCAACCTTGTGAGAATCTAATCTTTAAATTGATAGTAAACAGAAAATATTCTCAAGAAAGATTTATACAATAATAAATCAGGTAGAAATAAGATACTATGGAATTAAAGAAATAAAAGTTAAGAATGTGCCTTTTAAAACCAGCTGTCTGTCTTGCTTATGAGCCTCAGACTAGATAAGAACATGGTAAGACCACAGTAGAAGAATCAGAACACAGAATGCACTGTAGTCTCTTGGCATCAAAGTGGGGTGGAGAAATCTAGGGGAAGGATGAAACTTCCAGGCACCATTCACAACTCATGTAGCAAAGCTGTGAACCCTAGCTACTATGCCATTTAAATTTTATTCACTTTCTGGATCCACACACATGAGGAAACATCCAGTTCAAAAATGCAAAAAGAAACGGGAGTAGTTTCAGGTCTGAAATATACAAATTTGCAGTGGACACTTCCTGTGAAGCACTAAGGTTGGGGGTTGACTCTGAACACTTGACTAATCCCCTAAAAGGGATCTGGGGTATCCTGGGGAGAATCACAAAGTTTCATTCAAATAAAACTGAAGTTGAACTCAGAAAGTGAACAGAAGAAACTGTAAAGGAAACAAGAAAAGTAATTTTAGAGGCTGCTTTCTAATTCTAAGTTGGCAGAAAACTGTCCTTTACTCTAATTTGAAGTAACACAGAACAATTTTCTCATCTACCACAATATTATCTAAGAAGTCTGAGGCAAAAGGCACCAAACTATTTTCAAATACAACAACTTGCATGCAAAGATTTTGTCCCTTGAAGTCAACTCAAGCATGCCTAGGGAAGGGACAACAACACACACACTACTGCACATACGCAAAAGTACCTATTTGACATTAGAAACCTTTTCTTGACACAAGGCAAACAGTGGGCTGAAAAATATCACAGGATGAAGGGAGGCTGAGAAAACCAATATGAACAGTGGGCAGCTCGAATGATGAACAGAAGACCTTGCAAAATTATTTCTTATACTTGAGGCAATTTAAAAAGTGAGGTTTTGGGCCGGCCCGGTGGCGCACTGGAGAGTGCGCCGCTTGGGAGCGTAGTGGCGCTTCCACCGAGGGTTGGGATCCCATGTGGAGACAGGTTCCCGCTCACTGGCTGAGCGCTGTGCGGGCGCAACACCGAGGGTTGCGATCCCGTTACCGGTCAGTAAAAAAAGACAAAAAGGAAAAAAAAAAAAAGTGAGGTTTTAACCAAAAAGCCTTTACATGGCATTCAAAAAACAATTCAAATCTTTTGGATTGACTAAGAGCTAAACTGTCTACCCAAAATCTGTACAGCAGGGACCTGCTTTTAGCAGGGAAGCCTATTTACAAGTAAGAACCTCTTACTCTTGTAACATTGTCCTGTTTTGTTTTGTTTTAAAAGAATATATAACTATAACTCCTATCCCCACGGAGCTAGTCCATAAGGACTCAGTGACCCCGTAGAAATATGGACCTATCTCTACTAGAGAACTATTTATACTGCACTGTAAACACACATATATACACCTGCCCCCCACTAGGCTGTGAATGCCTTGAGTGAAGAGGTTATGGCTCATTCATTTTTGTATCTACAGTGGCAATTAGAAGGCACTGAATAATTTTTTTTTGCACGAATGCTAAATGAGAATGATTTTACACCACTACTATTATTTACATTGCAAACATTCCCACCATTTTCTATCTCCAAAATAAAAACACCAAATTGCTACCAAGTTTACAGTGAATTTCACAATATAGTACTTCTGAACTTTTTTAATGAAAAAAAAAACATTCTTGATTTACTAATTTTCAGAGCAATGATACAAACTTTGCATTCTCCTTAAACTTGTTTGGAAGTTATTTCATTCTTTTTCTCTTTTTCAAAAGTGCATCACGTAGTGCCAGCTGGAAGATAAGAAAAAATATTTAACCATGATAACTCTTGGGTATCCCAGTACACTAATTTGGTAATATGGAAGTTTACCAAAAAAGGAATCATTAAGTCAATAAATCATCATGAAAAACTATAAATAGTGAAACCAATAGGGGCCTCCATACTGCTAGAAAATATGCAAAGCTCTGACTGCTTTGTTCCCAATTCATGGGGACAAAAGTTCAAAACAGTAACAGCTGAAGAATGCAGTAGCCAGAGAATCACCCGTCTCCATGGATAATACATAGCACTTTTCTGTTCTATATGGCTCTTAAAATTTTGGAGTTGTGGGTGGGACACATCATCTAAATTAAAACCAAAGGGAAAACAGATTTTTCTTCACAATTACCTTTTCCAAGATCATATACATTTCACTAAATATGGCACATAAGGACCATTTAAAGACTTTTAAATGGCATTCAGCATTTGTGCAGAGTTAAGATAACTCTATAATATACAATCTGAAACAGAAAAATATTCCCTTATTTGCTGATTTTCAAATGGGTTTGTTTAATGCAGTGAATGAACTAAGAAAATGTTATAAGTAAATGCTAACACTTACCCTTTATAATGGCTAAAACATGAAGACATTAACTCAGAAATTGAAATCCAGACAATTGTGGCTTAAGACAAAATATTTAATTTAGTTAATATGGGCTCTAATTTTTAACTTGCTTAATTATTTTGTATTGGAAGTACGTAAGGAAAAAGCAATGAATTGTGTACTCCAATTAGACTCAATCAAGACTTTAATCGGCTATAATCCTTCTCTAGCTATAGGAGCTGGGTTCCTAAAGACTCCTAAGGTAGAATTTGAAGGCAAAGAATTTAAGATCTGGAGAAAAAGATGACCAAAGGACCAACATTTGAAGTAAACCTATAAAAGTACTTATAAAGTTTTATATTTCCCAAAAGAAAACAAACAGAATACTAAATAAAAGATTATCAAGAATAAACCCAAATTTAAAAAAAAAAAAAGGTAACCATTTTAAGTGTGTCATGGATACTATTCTGTTAATTCCCAGGCACTGTTCTTTGTCCTAGAAACTTTTGAAAATCTCTAGAACTTGAGTTTTAACAAGAAATGTGTTAAATTTTTTTTTTGCTTAGTTAAAAAATGTTTTTGGAGTGGAAGTTGCCTGGCTCTACATCTAAATGTTCCAACTTCTTGGATTTTATCATTTTAAGTATTGATTCTTTGCCTTTAGTCCATGCTTGGGTCTTGGTATGTCTTTGTAGATCAGCAGAATAGCTGGAATACTTAAGGAAGACAAAAAATCAACAAGTTCATTTTAACCAAATTTGGCTAAGGACGTATTTCCCAGACTCTTCTATCTGCCTTATTTTCTCATCCGCTAAATTGGTTTAATCACAGTAACTGCTCACAGTGCTGTGTATTAATTAAACAAGTTAAAATACATGGAATGCTCTGGAACAGTCAAGCCACATGGTAAGAACTCTTCTATGCATTAGCAAAGTTGGTTATATGGATTTATAACCAACTGCTCATTAAACTTTGTAACAAAGCACAGGCTACTCTCGCACATACTTTAGTTCCCTTCCTCCTTCAAATGCCACCAGTTGAACATAAGAACAGGTATATTCTCCCTCCTCTTCCTTTATCTTTCTAAAAGCTGCACTGCAGGATCCTCTTCTCCTCCTCTATGTTTTACTTTCCTTTTCTAGTCTTATCCCAAGTCACCTATTTTCATATATTCTAAAAGTTTAGAATAAGACCTCATGTATGCTTTCAAACCATGTAAGATCCTTTTACTTAAGACAGTAAAATATCACCAAGGGGTGGAGGGAGTGTGATATTCCTTTTCCACTGGGTGTGTGGGGTCATGGGGCAGTTTTAGGGATGCTCTATACTATGGCTACTGAGCATTTGAAACGTGGCTAAACCAAACTGAGATGTGCTGTGGTATATAAAATATACGCTGGATTTCAATTAGTTCAAAAACAAGAATGTAAAATATCTCAATAATTTTTATATTGATTAAGTGCTGAAATGATATTATTTTGGATATACTGGGTAAAATAAAATACAGTATTAAAATTAATTTCATCTCTTTCTTTTTACTTTTTTATTTTAAAATTACATATATGGTTCATATTGTATTTCTACTGAACACTACTGGTCTAAAGTGAAGTAGAAAATCAAGAAAATCAGGAACCTAGACTTATGTCTTATTTTTTATTTTTTTTATTTTTTTATTTTTTTTGTCTTTTTTCGTGACTGGCATCGGATCGCAACCCTCAGTGTCGTGCCCGTACCGGACCGGGACCGGCCACGGGATCACAACCCTCAGTGTTGCTCCCGCACCTCGCTCAGCCAGTGAGCGGCTGGTCTGCATGTGGGATCCGAACCCTCGGGGGGAGCGCCGCCGCGCTTCCCAAGCGGCGCACTGTAGCAGTGCGCCACCGGGCCGGCCTAAACTTATGTTTTATAATGGAGAGACCTTGAAGAAAATACAGGGCAAGGAAACATACATAGAAATTCTGATTAATTTCAGGTTCAAAATTTAACAATGGGAGAACAAGGAAAAAGTATTCTTTAACCAACAAGTATATATGTCCAATAAACTCTTAATTTACTCTTAAATAAGAAATATTTTAATCTCAAGAGAGATGTTTTATGACTCAGAGGTGCTGACAAGGAACAAAGCAGGGCTTCTCCATGACTACAAAAAAAGGTATGCTAAAAAACAGAGGGATTAGGGAGGAGGTATGTCCTAAGCTAAAATGTAGCACAATCATATAAACCTCATTAATGAAACAAGGCCTACCAACTTGGGACGATTACTACTTCCTCAGCCCCAAAATGTTATTAAGGGCTAATGCAGGACAGACTAATGGAATTAAGTCAATTCAACTATAAATTTAGGAGAATGTAGCAGAATTTAGAGTACTTAAAATCTTAAATAATACCTTTCCTTTCACCCTAATTTGAACAACTTTTATTAAAAATGCTGTCACTTTATTATTTACATGATGTCACTGAACAGTTTAGACCTAGAAAGATGAGATAAACAGATAAGTAGAGCTTAAAATGGTACCTTAATTTGGTTATACTAACTTGGTACCTACACAGAAACAGCACTGCCATGGAGAGCTGGCTGTTACACTCAGTCCTGGTAGGCTTGTCCTTGCCTAAATGTTTAGGAATGAGGGACTATATGCCCTGGACCTAATTTCCTGGAGATTCTTCAGAATGACATTTAGATATACTCTGGTACAGTCCCAGAAGAGGGAAGTACAAAAGCATAAATTTATTTTACTACAATGAATTTCTGAAATAAGTAAGCCACCCAAGCAGCATGGGATTACCATTCAAAGGCTGCCAAAGGAAAAAATGAAATCCCAAAGGCTTGTAAACAGATAGTCTTTGCAAAAGGGCACATACAGGAATGATCATGCCAACACAGAACCGTTCATTTTGCACTGCCTTCCTGAAACTGTTTCTCAGACATTATCACACAAAATTATTGCTTTTTGAAAAGTACGAGGTATAAAATAGGCACTCAAAAATTGTTATTTAATTAATTTTGATATTGCAATTCACAGATCAAATGTCAGAGAGTTTTAACATGGGAAGGGACCTCAGAGATGACCTAGTTTACACCCCTTTACTTATAAAGGAGAAAAATGGACCCTTCTTTGGTCACATAGCTGAGTCTCAACCAAGTCAGGTCTGGGATTTACACACCCTGACTACCTTCCACCTCTCTCTACTCTCCAGTAATGCTGCCATTAACCCCAAGACACACACAATACGTGGTCTTCAGAAGGTACAACTCCATCTCAAATGTACAGTAATCTTAGAATTACAGTACTGTTCTTGCCACCCAAGCTTCAAGTTGAACTCACCTGCTTTTCTCGGAAGGAACGCTTAGTTTTGGACCGGACATTCTGGCTATAGCGCATCATCATAAAGTTCTTCTGTTTTTTCTTCTCTTTATTTGTGGAACTGGAAAATGGATTTATTTTGGTTTTTTTCCTCACAAATTCCTTTCGGTCTGTCTTTCCAGCCTATCAGCACAAAAAGATTGATATTTCTTCTTAAATGAAAAACTTCAGGAGTTATCTATTCAACACAAACATCTCCTCTGTGCCAGGTGCTGTACTGGATGCCAAGGATACCAGATGGACAGTACACAGTCCTCATTCCCCGGGACTCAGTCCAAGGGAGAAATGGCTATGAAGTATTGTAATGGAGCAAGGGAAGAAAAGATCATGACTCAGCACAATGATGACAAAGGAGCTTCCCAGAAAGGAAGATAGCATGCTATTTTTTTGTAGGATAAAGGCATTCATGGTGTGGGATTGGAAGGGAAGGGTAGGGAATTTCAGGAAGTAGGGGTCGTGTGTGCAAAGGTGTGAAGGAGAAAGAACATGTGTTTTTAAACTTATCTAAACAGGTTTCACTACAAATGGAATGCAGAGGTAGAGCTAGTATGGGATGGTGCCTAAAAGAAGTCAAAGTATTGAAAATGAAGTTGGAAATGTAGACAGGATGCAATCATGAATAGCCTTAGCACTAGCCAGATGCAGACTCCAACTGGCTCTGGCTTTTCACTGATGACTGCAAACATTCCCCTGCTTTCCTATTAGCTTTGATAAAGGTACTAAGCCTCCCGATATCATGAACATGTAAGACTGCCCTTCCTTGCTCTGTTTCATTTTGGGTGGTGGTTACATGGATACAGTTGTCAAAACTCATCTAACTGAACACCTTATATCTGTTCATTTTATTCTATGTTAATTATACTTTATTCACAACATTTTTTTAAAATTGCCATTCTGTGGCTATACAAGTTCTGTATTATATTTCATTGTATTTGTTTTCTGTTTAAAGAACTAGGGACGATATGCCTCACTCACCATTGCAGTTGCTAGTCTTGTCTCCTTGTCAGATTTTGGCTTTTTATGAAGGCGTTCAATATCCCGAAGAGAAAGTAATTCACCCCTGGGGTGAGGATAAAACACAGTATGAAACAAGGGTAGACTTCCTTTCCCTAATGCTTTCATGACCATGTGAGCTGACTGAAGACCTGGTGTATGTGCCATTTTACCTGGACTCCTCATCACTGTCTATTTCAATATATTTCCGCTTTGGGGCTTTCCCGGGGGCAGCATCAAGTTCTTTCCTCATTTGGGCCATGCGGATTTTCTGGAAGTCTTCCTGAGTTAAAACTCGACTAGTGCTGATGGCTGCAGCTTTGGCTTTCCGCTCTTCCACGGGCATGCTGTTCAGCTTCTTGGACTTGAAAGCACACAAACAAAGGCTCAAATGGCTACTAGCTCAACTGAGAGCTTAGCCATTCAAATTTTAGTCTCCCAACAAGGCCCAGAATATATTATGTCTTAAACATCAGAGTGATACGCTTATGATTTTAAGACTTACAATTTCTTGCTGTTCTTCGTCGGAAGAGTGGTGCACATCAACCCATTCACCATCGGCATCCTCCTCCTCACCAAGGCTGGTGCTTTCCCATCCATCTGTGTGAGCAAGAGCACACTGTTATTACTACAGCTTTATGCCAAGTACTCACAGCAAGCTGCAATAAGTCAAGACAGAGAAAAGCAAGGCAATGAACCTCTCTAGTAGATACTCTACTGACCAAGAATTGAGCAATATTTATTGTTAAATAAGCCACATCAATTTAGTTAATTTAAGGAATGGGGCATAAGCACTGACCAAGTATGTACCATGAGCCAAAACCTTATGATCATTCACTCTAAACCTCACGACTCAAAAGGGGAACAGACTAGCAGTTAATTAACATTTCCTAAGCCCCACTGCTAGAAAATGTAAACTGGACTGAAATCATGAAAATCATGTCTGACTCTAGAGTCCATGTTCTTTCCATTAAACCAACTGCATCCATCAAAACTTTGCTTAGGGCTGGCTGGTTAGCTCAGTTGGTTAGAGTGTGGTATTATAACACCAAGGTCATTGGTTCGGATCCCCGCACCAGCCAGTCGCCAAAAAAAAAAACAAAATAAGAAAAACTGCACTTGTACATTTATCTTGGCTACACAGCAAGTATCGGACTAACTCCCCTTTCAGCATAATTATACATGTATGAGAAACTAGGCACAGTCATTCAGAAAACTGAGGTAGAAGATTTTGGATGTGAAAAACCCCTGTAGACACCTCAATAAAGAGGTATTAGGGTTCTTAATGAAGCCATCAGAGTAACATTTTGAAATCACAGATACAAGTACTTGCAATTGTTCAGTGGCTCCCTATAATCTATAAGACAATGTCCCAGCTCTCTGGTCTGGCATCTACTCAACCACTCATGATAAGGTCTGCAACCCTACTCTAGTCTCCTATCTCATAGTGTCCATGTCCTGCCTTGTATCCTACTTTCTAATGGTTCCTTAACTATCCACTTTGCCTGGAAAGTCTCCACTACTCTAGCATTCCTTACCACTCTCCTGGCTCATCAGTCACCCTCTCTCTGAAGCCTTTTTCTTCACTTCTGAGGGAGACCTGACTTCTCTCCTGCCCTTATGCCCCCACTCCAATTATAAGTCTTGTTAATACTTTATTGCTCAGCTCTTTAGGAAAGACCCTCAAAAGCACGAACAATATCATTCATCTCCGCATTGACAGTGGCCAGCTCACATCTAATGCTTAAGAAAGCTTTGTTGAAATAAGGAATGAACAAACAGGAAGAAGATGGGACACTGGAAATTAGAATGAAATTCCTCAAGTATTCTTCAGTAAGTTCAACAAGCATTCACTTCAACAGGGAGAGTTTTGAAAGGTGCTCCAAGGACTGACCATGCCAGTGTATAAGGGCAGCCACCCTAAAGGACACGAAAAGGCATCTTTCATACTAGAATGTATGTTCCATAAGAGCAAGAACCATGCTCACTTGATCCTCAATGCTTATAACAGTGCTTGGCACACAGTCATTGCTCAATAGACTAGTCCCCGCTTATCCACAGAGGACACATCCCAAGACACCCGGTGGATCCTGAACCTGCAGAGAGCACTGGACCCTTTCTATACCATGTTTTTTCCTACACATATAGACCTATAATAAAGTTTATCTATTTATTTTTGGGGCAGCTGGCTGGTACAAGGATCTGAACCCCTGACCTTCGTGTTACAACACTGTGCTCTAACCAACTGAGCTAACTGGCCAGCCCCTTAAAGTTTAATTTACAAATTAGGCACAGTAAGAGATTAACAATAATAACTAATCATAAAATAGAATAATTATGACAATATACTGCAATAAAAGTTATGTGAATGTGGCCTCTGTCCCTCTCTCTCTCTCTCTCTCTCTCTCCACCCTCCCCAAAATATCTTACTGCACTGACCTCACCTATTTTCAGACCACAGTTGATCACAGGTAACAAACCATGGAAAGCAAAACCGCAGATAAGAGGGGACTGCTGTAAATATCTGCTGAATGAATGTTCAAACAGCATAAGAATTTAGAGGTCAGAACAGATACAGCAGAAGTGATTTTGCCCTGAATAATGGTGAAATAAAAATGAACCTTCATCATCTTCCGCATTCTCTTCTTTCTCAGCTTCTAGAACTTCTGCTCCTGGAATGTAATCTTTAGCATCCAGCTCTCCATATTCTTGTACTCTCGCTTCTATGGAGGCCTCGGTAGGCTTACCCTGAGGAGAAGAAATTGTTTATAGTAAGGCGCTTAGACTGCAAAATGTTAATCATGAAAGGTATCTTCTAGGATTATGAATTATAAGGGAGCACTATAAAAAATTTGAGGCAATCAAATCACAATAAGTCTGCTTATGTCTCAGATCAAAGTAAATCCGTCAGCCAGAACTCTGTTCATTATTTTCTTGCTTTCTTCTGATCCAGATCAAGAAACTGGCAGTTATTAGAGAATAACTGCTCCAATTTTTAAAGTCTTGAAAATACCATCCCTCTTTGTTACATATATGCATCCCTCCTTCCTCCAACCTTGAAAGAGGTGTCATCTGCCTGGGCAGTAACCTGTTCAACACTGGCATCAGCTACTGACTGATCTCTGAGATTCCACTCTATTAATGATGTCATCAAAAGCTTTCAAGTTCAAACAGCCTGATAGGTCTTTAAGACTTAGTCATCATCGAAGAGCATGTGCCAACTACAAGATATTTAAGGTCATGGTATTCAATCAACTGTATCCTAAGCTTAAAGAATAAAACCATGTGCATCACCAGTACTCATAATGGAAGCATCACAAATACTAAAATTCAAGTTGTAGAAAACTACTCTCCTCATCTTTTGAACCATAAGCTTTAGACCAACATAAGTGTGCTTCACTTACCCGAAATTTCTTCTGCAACATCTGAGGATTCAGTGTTCGGAAAAGCTGAATCAAAGTTCTAGCAGACATCATTACATCTGTAAAATAATACCTTTAATTAGAAATTCTGGAGCAGAGAATACAGTGAGGTAAAAATGAGTCACACTGTATCGTATAGTCTGTAGAAAATAACAAGCAACTTACTCTTATCTTTGTGTGTTTTATACTGAGCCAGGTCTTGGAGAAGTTCTTCAGTCATGGCTAGAGGACATCGAGCTGTTATCTCTTTTATAGCATTGATTCTAGAAAAGGAAAAATGAATTTTAAAAAACCATAACAGCAGTTTTATGTGGTTCAACCTAAGAAGGTTTCCTAAAAACATTAAATCAAAATTAATACAAGTTGGGTTTTGTATGGCCTAGCTTTCTAAAACTGCAGCGTGGCAGAGAATATGAGAATGGGACGCCTTAGAGGGCTTTTATTCCAGTTACTGCTACATCCTCTGCTAGCGGAATAAGGAAAAGTGTCCTGCACACTAAGTCATGGCAGCATTTAGTCAACACCTCTAATGCAGGGCTAGGTCAAATAAGAAAGATTAAAGGTCTTTGGGGCCATTATCCCAGCAATATTTTTGAAGGGAGATAAAAAGCAACCGTTCGGCACATTGCTTATTTACCAAGAAAGACCAGGCAATCCTTAAACTAGTGTTCACATTCATTAAGTGCTTTTGAATTAATCAAAAGGGCCACTGAACTGCCCTAGAATTAAAGAGTGCTTCAATAATAAATCACTTGTTCCAGGCTAAGACATAAGTTCAGGATGGGAGATAAAAGAAAAACACTTAGATTGCCAAACAATCATTTATCCAAAAGAATAAAACTCGTAATAAAGCAAAACGCTGATTAGAAGGACAGGTATCTTTTCTCTGGCTTCCACCTCAAAATTCTGACCAATAAAATAAAAAACACCAAGCCTCCTGAGAAGACTGAAGTATATTTTAAACTGCTTTTCTAGAGGCCACACTGCCAGAAATCCTACATCTTGATAACTTAAAGCAAACCTAGCACAATAAAAACATGCTTCCAGCCATGTTCTACATACCCTACTGTCATGACTTCCCCAGAGTTCTTGTCAGTAACGAAATTGTTGGCCACAGTCATGAGCAATGACTGAATGATCTGAATTGGGAAAAGAAGAGAGATGAGTGCTAGTAACATGTATGTACCTACTCAAACACTTGAGGATGAAAGGACAATAGATTATTCACAGTGGAAAAACAGCCCTCCATCTCTGGTTTGGGAGTTGGAAGGAATCAAGCATAAGGACGACAGAGATAGAAATACGCAGTTTTGGAGTTCAGTCTCTTTGGCTATCCTCAAACTAAATTTTAAATTTTACTCTAGTTTAAATTCATTTTTCTATATAGGTGAAAAAAACTGCTTGACACAGGATAATCCAATACTGAAAAGATGAAAATCAAATAACAGCTTTTAATCAAAGAACAGCTTTGAAAAATAATCACTATAAACTTACTAATATTCTTGACCTCCCTTAGTCATAAAAGTTGGTTATTAAACAAAATCGGAATTCTCAACAACTTGTCCAAAAGAAACTTTACTTTCTATGAGCTGTACAACTGAACTTCTATGTGTATCTCCAATAGTTAGTGTCTCTCCTACTCACTTAAAAAAGGTGGGGGGGGGGGCACTGACCCATGAGAAAAAAGTGACCCTGATGTACCTGACAGTGGCCCTGCTATGCAAGCAATAGATCCAAAAGTAAGGCTGAGAGTTCTCACCTCTGGGGGCACAAGGTGATGAGAGGCTTGTGCAGCAAACAGAAGGATCTTTGTTACTTCTGAAAACATAAGAGATCAGAAAGGTTTTAGTTTATTGCTCTGCCTCTTAGGACCATAGCAAACATGGCTAGCACTTTTTGGTCTCAATGCTCTTGCTACTCACTTCACCTAAACACCCAACCCCCAGATAATCTGCATAGCTCATGCTCTCGCTTCCTTCAGGTCCTTACTCAATTGTTACCTTATTGAAAGGTTCTTCCTGACCACACAATATAAAATAGAACTTGCACAAGGACTCCTTATTGCCCTTACCCCACTTCCCTTCTCTTCAAAACACTTTTCTTTACCTGGACATATTATATACAGCACTGTCTGTGTCTCTCTCTAAAATGTAGGCTCTGTGACGGTAAGAACTTTGCTTTATGTTCACTGTGGAATTCTTAGTGTCTAATAAAGTGCCCGGCATAGAAATCACTAAATAAATACTTGTTGAATGAATGAATACAAACGTACATATATACACACACCTCCCTTCAAAGGGGCAGCACAGTATATGTAAAAAACAAGCCCTCTGGCAAAAGAAAGAAGTGAGATAAATTCTGACACCATTTATTTGGTGAGTGACCCTGGGTTTTTTTCTTTCTATACCTCACAGGATTTATGTGAGGGTTAGACGAGACAATGTATGTAAAGTACTTGGCCCATGTTAGATTTTAGATGCTCAATAAATGTTAGTTTCCTTCCTACCTTGGTTCAAATTCAAGGCAGAAAGAACCATCTCTTCTTTCTTGCTGTTTTTAATTGAGGAAACGCATGAGGGCAATGAGAGTAGTGAGATTAAATCCTGATATCTATTACGAAGCTATAGTAAAAAGTTAAACTTCTTTTCTAGAATTTTCCTTATGAGCATTTAAGGTATTACACAAAGACTTCCTTTGATAAACCAATCTGTAGGATTTTTTCTTCAAAAATAATGGTTTCTTAAAGTTGATGAGCAGAACTAACCATGGCAGACTCTAGAGAGAAAACATAGGATTTCTTTCCCCTTCTCTGATACAGAGCAAACTTCACTCCTAACTCTATCTCTAATGATTCCAGAACAAAAGATTTGAGATGGTTATTCTAATGCCAAATCCACCAAAATGGCACTGTGAATATGGCAAGTGGGCAGCTTACCTCTTTGGTGAGGCTGCAGAAACCTTTGCACAAAGGGATAGAAGTTGAAGAGAAAAAGCTGTGGAGAAAAGAATACACTGACTTTAGCATTTGTGTAACTGAACTGCAGAATTTCATTTCTCTATAATGCAATTATATCACCAAGCTTAATTAACTGGGAATCATTTTTTATTTTTGGTAAGTATATGTAGAACAAACTAGGAGAAAGAGAGGCAACCAAAATGTAACATTCTTCTACTTTTAAAATTGGTGTGGCTGCAGACTGATTTTTCAGTGTTCCCAGAGAAGGGGGACTACAGAAAGGAAAAGTATTGATATTAAGGATCCAAAGCAACAGACAAAATAAAAATTCAAATCTGAATAGCATCCAGTATAATTTGATCACCACAAAACCTACAGTCCTGATTTTATTATAGTATCCAATTGAAGCACATTGCAGGAATTATACTGTACTCCATATCTTAGAGAGAAAACACTAACATTCTGGAGTCTACTTAGATAAAGATGACAGGTGTCCAGTTATTAAGGAAATGGTATGTTTAATTTCAAGAAATGAAATTGTAGAGATGTACTTGTCTTTTTCAAAATTCATCACGTGGGAATAAATTAATTTTTTTTGTTTTAGCCACAGAGCAAAACTAGAATGGGCCATCAAGAAGTAACACGGAGGGGCCGGCCCGGTGGCGCACTGCTATAGTGCGCCACTTGGGAAGCGCGGCGACGCTCCTGCCGAGGGTTCGGATCCCACATATAGACCGATTCCCGCTCACTGGCTGAGCGAGGCGCGGGAGTGACACCGAGGGTTGCGATCCCGTTGCCGGTCCCGGTCCGGTACGGGGGCAACACTGAGGGTTGCGATCCGTTGCCGGACACGGAAAAAGACAAAAAGGAAAAAAAAAAAAAAAAGAAGTAACACGGAAAGCTTTAGCTCAATATAAAGATGGATGTTCAATTGTAGTCAGTTGTTAAAACTCCAGTACCATTTCCATCAAACCACATTTAAGTCGTAAATCACTCTGCTTTCCTATCAAGTTCAAACTCAGGTCTGACACAAAATTATTGCACAAACGCAACAAGAATTGAGTGGGTCATCCTTACTTTGGGACTACAGCCCATGGAGAAAAGGCAATGTATTAACTAAAACTTTAACAAGTTTTTTTCAGAGAAAGAGAGCAAGTGTTTTCACTTTTGTGCTTTCATTTTTAATTTAACATATGTCTATATTGTTTGATTTCCAATAAACAAGCCTGTTTTATTTTTCTTGTTTTGTTTTTTCACTTAAAAATTTTTTTAAGGAAAGCAATACATTCAGCAATGTTCAAACCAACAGTAGTCACAAGACCAAAATGATAGGGAACAACTTCAATGATCATTTCTTCATGGCCTAAATTTTTCAGCATCTCTCTTCTACAATTGCCACTCGTCTAAGAGTAGAAGATTCCCTGTGTATATACAACATATACACCATCAAAGAGTTCTTGCAATCTAATTTAACATAAAATAAATAACCAGAGAATTTAGCTTTGCAAACATGACAATTTCCCACTTGAGGGCTCTGGTAGTAAGGAAAGCCATGAAAGGTTAAATGAACTTTAGTAACAGTCAACAAAAATACCTGGATTATGATGGCTCAGGATAATGTACACATATGAAACAAAGTGAATAAAAAGCAAGAAGAAAAACAGAACACCAAAGAATCTGTCCATAAACTAAACATATTTATGAGTTAATATTCATACTTAGAAAGAAAGCAAATTGATAGAAACAACTCTTTTCAGAGTGAAAGATTGTATTCTTTTGTTTAAATGATTTGGAGGATAAAATTAAGCCACTGCTCTGCTTAATGGCTTTCTTTTTTACCAAGAATAATTCTACTTCTAATATTCATCAAGAGAAACATATGTAATTCAAACCTCATGAATTCCCACCAATCTGGAGATGAGGTTCATGAGCATCATCTTCACTTCAAACCTCTCCTTAGAGCTCTCCAGCTGCTTTAGTAGTTTTTCTGCAAAATCTAGAAAGGAGAAATACACTGTGGGTCCATGGTCTATATAACATTATCTAACAGGTGAAGGGAAAGGCAGCAATTAGATTGGTGAAAAGACTCATACGCAGGTGAATACATCTTTAATGGTACCCCAAATTAAGCCTGAAGGATTCCCAAGATATTTAGCATCAACATTTAGAGTAACTGTTTGATAAGTGCTCCACTTAGTAGTTCTCTAGAGCCTTGCTTTTCAAAGGGTGGTCTACAGACCAGCAGCAGCTGATCCACCAGAATCTCAGGAACACAGAATCTCAGGCCCCACCCCAGTCCTACTAAATCAGAATAAGCACTTTGGGCCGACCCTGTGGCTCACTCGGGAGAGTGCGGCGCTGGGTGCGCAGTGGCGCTGGGAGCGCCAAGACTGCAGGTTCTGATCCTATATAGGGATGGCCGGTGCGCTCACAGGCTGAGCGCGGAGCGGGTGACACCAAGCCAAGGGTTACGATCCCCTTACCAGTCAAAAAAAAAAAAAAAAAAAAAAAAAGAATAAGCACTTTAACAAGCTCCCCAGATAATTTGTATGCACATTATAGTTGAGAAACACCAATGTAGAGCAGGGGTCAGCAAATGTTGCCCTACACTAGAGTACAGAGAGTGTAAAAAACCCCAATGCCCAGCCACACCCCACACCAACGAAATCAGAATCTCTGGGGATAACAGGACCTCAAGTATAAGTATAGTTTTATAAATTCCCCAGGTGATTCCAATGTGCAGCCTAGTTTGAGAACTAGTGTTCTGGAACAAGGTTTCCCAGACTTTTAGTTTCCACAGACCATTTTAAAAAGAAAAAAAAGGGACCAACAAAAGACTGGCCAATTTTTCATTTGGTCAAGTACAATATCCTACCACTATTGTGTTGTTCAAGACATGTATCTCAGAGAGACGTGCTCTTCCACATTTTTCTCATTTTGCTGTGAACTGGGAATCACTGTTTTAGGACACAATTCTCCAGGTTACAACCAACTAGTAAAAACTAAGCATTTACTGACTGCCTATTAAGTGCCAGGGATCTTATATTCCCTGATAATGCTGAAGGCAGGAAACAAAACAGGCAGAGATAAGGCCAACAAGTAACATGGGAGATCCTAACTATAGTACCTTGGGGATCATGAATCAAGTGAATAGCTGAAAAGTTAAACACCTCTGGTTTTTTCTTCTTCTTTTGTTTCTGAAAGAAAGGGAGAGGAAAACATTTCCACTATGAATTACAGTAAGGACACCCTTGGAATTCAGTGTGCTAATGTGCTAAAAGCCGTTATCAAATCCATCTATTTAAAAATAAAAAAAAGTCTTTGTTCTAAAAACCTTTCTTTCAACTGGAAGAACTAAAGGCCTTTTAAGATTAAACCTTGGGAATGTTCCAGCCATTAGCACCTGTGAAACTTTGGAACAATTTGGAAATACAAACGTTAAAAAACACAGAGGCCAAATTAATGATTTTCAGAATAATCATTACAAAATATCAAATGTACATCATTCGTGTATTCTTCTGAGAAGACATATGTAAAAAGATATCCTAATGTGAGCCACCCTGACCAGAACAAGTGAAAGTGAATTTAATCAAATTAATTTATTCAAGTCACAGATTTTGCTAGGGTTGAATACATTTATTAATCTTAAAAAAACAGTGTTTAAAAATTCATCACACATTTCAAAGTCTTTCAAAATGCTATTCCTTGATTTCAAATTCTTAAAAGTTTTGGCTACATATTTTGCATTCTAATGATTCCTATCTAATTTCCCAGGTACAAGTTTCACCTTGAGCACTTTCATTGCCTTTTCCAACTTCTTCTTGTTTTTGGAGCTTTTCTTCCCTGTGGCATACTGCACTAGCAGGTCTCTTGCTGTTGGTCCTTCATCCTGAAGAAGAAACTACTTTATAAAAATTGTAAACAAGGAAAATCTGCATAGAAGTAAACAGTAATCCTTTCAACAACTTCTTGGTTCTTTTACTCTTTGCACACAGCTATTAAAAACAACTTTTTTTTTTTTTTTGTCCTTTTTGAGACCAGCCGCACCGCACTCAGCCAGTGAGCGCTGTGAGCGCACTGAACCCACGGCGGGAGCCCTGCTGCGCTCCCAGCGCCGTACTCTCCCGAGTGTGCCACGGGCTCGGCCCTAAAAACAACCTTTAAAATCAAGTTTATGCACACACATGTGTACAAACAGGCACATACAAAGATATTCACTGCAGCACTGGTTTTTATTTTTATATTTTAAGTTTGCTTTTTATTGAACTATGACATACAGACAGAATACAACTTATGTTTTCATTTGAAAAAAGAAACTAGAAACAAATATTTCTCAATAGGAGGAGGCTTAACATATAATACATTCATATTCTGAAATATGTGGAGGTTAACAGAATGAGGCAAATCTATACAGACAGCCACACACAGCATAAGGTTTCAGTTAATGATGGACTGCATATATAACAGTGGTTCTACCATATAGCTTAGGTATGTAGGCTATACCACCTAGGTTTGTGTAAGTACACGCTATGATGTTTGCACAATGATGAAATCGCCTAACGATGCATTTCTCAGAAAGTATCCCTGTCATTCAGTAACACATGACTAGTTTTTTAAAACCACTACACATGTAAGACTACATACACATATCCATATAAAAATGCATGGGAAGGGCCAGCCCGGTGGCGCACTGCTACAGTGCGCCGCTTGGGAGCGCAGTGGCGCTCCCGCCGAGGGCTCGGATCCCACATACAGACCGGTTCCCGCTCACTGGCTGAGCGAGGTGCGGGTGCAGCACCGAGGGTTGCGATCCCGTTGCCGTCCCGGTCGGGTCCGGTACGGGCGCGACACTGAGGGTTGCGATCCGTTGCCGGACACGAAAAAGACAAAAAGGAAAAAAAAAAAATGCATGGGAAATGAAATGATTATTTGGGAGGAGGAATCTGGGAAGTAGAAATAAGACATGGTGAAGAAAACTTTTATCTAAAACTTTTTACAATATCTAAAATTTAAATATGTAAAATTTTTTACAATAAAAATGTATTGGTCACACATTGTTGAAAAGATGTTACTATATAGTGCAGTATTCTAATAAGGGGGAGGAAAGAATTCTTTTTACAATTTCTTCTTTTTAATGCTTCTAAGATACTCCCTACAAAGCAGCATGTAAAAATAAAACAATATAAGAAATTTTCATTACATCATAAGTCTTGATTTATTTCCTTTTAAAGATGCTATATTACTCCCATCTCTTCACCCACTCTAAACTTCTATTATGCTGACATTGCCTCAAAAATATTTTGGTGGCAATTTTCATTCTAAATTTACATAGTGAGATATAGGTATAACTTTAGAACTAAGAACCAGGCTTAATGAATCTGTTTTATTATTTTATTTAATCAATCTTACTGAATACAAGTGACAAATTCTAAATGGAATTAAATCTTAGCATGACAGCATGTCCTCAACAAAGGACAAAGGTGACATATAAGTTTCTTTCTAACTCAAGCAGTCATGTATTTTACAATTTAGACTCAGAGAGATAATGAAATCTGATGAACTGTAAAATTCAGAAGCAGCTATGATTAAACTAACCTCAGATTCTGAGTCACTGTCTTGTTTCTCATCTTCATCTTTCCCGAGGAAGAATGTCAAAGCAGCTACTAATATCTAAAGACCAATCCAAAAAAGAAAGTCTGTTACTTAATTCAGCTTACAACAAAGAATAAATATTTCTGTCGACACTTTATATGAGCCTGTGAACTATGGTCTAAAGAAAAAAAATTCAAAGGTTGTTGAGATTTTTGCTCATCTTTCCTGACCAAAAAAAAGATGGTTTTATGTTATTTCTTCCATCAATATATAGTTTAAAAAATCTTTAACTAGATAAAAACTGCAAGGCTCTACATAGTTATCATTCAAATAAACTGTCAAGAATTTGTACATCCCCCACAAGAAAAGTGACATTACAGCTCTTCCAACAGAAAGTCATACTCCTTAAATTTCTTTCAGCTGTGTCTAAGCCCAGTAGAAAAGTCAAGAATCACAGGGGAAAAAATAAAATGAACACTACGGCTATGGTTTATTACACAGTATTTTAAAAACTCATAATTCTCTTTGACCCCTCTAAAGCACAGATGACCCAGGGAAGTGATCTAAGTATAAAGAAAGCAACACTGAACATAAACAGCATGTCTGCACCTTCTTTCCTCACACACCCGACTCTTTCACCTTCTATCTGCAGAAGCGGACCACCCACAGACAGTGCTTTCACACAGCTCTGCAGGCACTCACCTTGATGACCTTGGAGAAGCATGCAGTTGTGATAACATTGACAGTTTTGGCATCATTCCTGGGGGAAGACAATTAGTGTTTTGACGTAAAGTTTCATTTTAACTGTATTTCACAGCACAGACAAAGGCACAAAATAAACAATATTATAAATATTTCTGACACATTAGAATTCACAATTGTAATATTTTAAAAAGGCATGGGTTGAAGAAGTGGTCAACCACAGCTGAAACATTTAATTAAATGTTAGCCCAGTCTCATGACAGAAATTTAGAGATTTAAGATGGAGTTTTGGAAGAACTTTTAAATAAAACACAGGAATGTCCTCAAAGGAAGTAGGAAAAAAACAATAACCCAGAATAAAAAAACTTTAATATAGTAAAATTCCAACCATACTTAAAAATACATCTTAAAGAAAAGATTGGGAGGAAATGCCATAAAATATTAAGTGGTTGTCTCTAGGTGGTGGGACTGTCAATAATTTTTAATAATAAAACTTTTCTAGTTTCTCTAATTTTCTGCCACAATGAATACTACTTTTATAGTGGGAAAAAAAGTCAATTAAAAAAGCAAAAGACATGAATTGGGGGCACTGTGCCAACAAACCGGTTTATGAAATACGATATTTTACATATATAGCATGAATTGACTTGAAAATCTTCAGAGGGACTCATGGACAATCTGGGTTTGAATTTCAACTCTGCCTCTTACTATCTAAACTTTTACTAACATAAATACTATGCACTTCAGTCTTACTCTCTAAAAACTGGGGATAATGCCAGACAAGCTACATTTGTTCTCAAGTTGTTCTGAAGGCTGAACAAGGTAATGTAAAGTGCCCAACTTCAGTAGATGCGTGAGAAATGGCAGCCAATGTTATCAGTCATTTGGATTGCCTCTCTATTTTTACTTCCAACTTATCCTATGACAGACGTATATGAAAGAGCTCAAGATCAAGAAAAATGTGTGTATGTGTTCTGTATTACTTACAACTGAATAGAAGAGTCTACTTCTCAAGAGACAAATATATATATATATATATATATATATAAACTATAACTAATACAGGTGGGCCAATAATCAATAATAAGAGTTTCAGTGTGAGAGAACAAATAAAATATAAGGAGGAAACTGACAAAGAAGTGATAAAAAAAAAACTTCTTAGTCATGAAAACAAAACATAGGTCTTCAAGTTGTGTCCATCCATTATAGCGGATGACAAATTTTAAACAGCCTAGATATGCACTAGTAAAATTTCAAAGCACTAAGGGAAGACAAAAGTAAAAGAAAATTGAATACTTTCAGTATTTTCAATATATTCAATATTTTCAGTATATTCAGTGGACAAGATGGTATATGTGTTTTTCTACTCATTCCTGCTAAGCACAGCCTTAATCTCAGGAAAAGACAACAATCAAAGGAGAACCATATATATACACATATATATATATATATATACATGTGTATATATATATATGTGTATATATATATATATATATATATATATATATATATACGCATATATATTACCAGATGTTTCTTCTGTAGAGTTCAATCATCACATCCAAAGACATCTTGGCTGCAGTTGCATTGCTGTCTCTTAACATGGTATACATGAAATTCTGCAAGACCTGAAGACATAGAAGAGAAAGATCTAATACACTGATGGTACAATGCTGAAAACAAGGGAAACAAAAGGGTACTTACTACATTCACTTTATTGTTCTTGTGTTTTGCATTTATATTCTTGATATCAGTCACAATATGTGTGTATAATGTCTGAGGAAAAGAAACAAAAACACATACACATTAAGCCTAACAGGTATTTCTAACCTTGCTAAATTTGGAGAAAAGTACAAATGTACAAAATGACTTATTTTACCTACTTTTCATTCAATCACAAAAGAGACCAAAACCAAGCCAAAAAAAAAAAAAGCAAACAAAAGTTGTTCTTAAAAGATTAAACATGAGGTTACTGTATGACCTAACAATCCCACTTCTAGCTACATACCCAAGAGAAATGAAAACATATTCATATTTCCACAGGAATGTTCACACAAATATTCATAGGAGCATTATTCATAATAGCCAAGAAATGGAAACAACCCAACTGTCCATTAACTGATGAATGGATAAACAAAATCTGGTATGTCCATTCAACAGAATATTATTTGGCAACAAAAAGGAATAAAGTACTGATACATGGTACAACATGGATGAACCTTGAAAACATTATGCCAAGCAAAGGAAGCTAGCCACAAAAGGCCACATATTGTATGACTCCACTTATACGAAATATCCAGATAAGCAAATCTACAGAGACCAAAAGTAGATTGGTGATTGCCTAGAGCTGGAAGAGATGAGGGGAAGAGGATTGACTGCTAATGGGAAGGGGTTTGTTTTGGTGGTGATAAAAATGTTCTACAATTGATTGTGGTCATAGTTGCACTACTCCGTGAATATAATAAAATCCACTGAGTTGTACACATTAGTAGATGAACTGTATATGAATTATATCACAATAAATTATTTTTAAAAAAAAAAGGAAAGTTGCTCCATTTATCAAGCACCTAACTGCATGCAAGACAATACTGGGAATACAAATATCATTGGTGCCCAAACTATGCTCCCAAATTATTATGGAATAAAAGGTCCAAGGGACCACAAAGTACAATTGCTAACATCATATACCAGTAGTCTCTTATTATTTTGGAAAAAAATTTTAAGTTAGTGAATGTAAACTTAAATTTTTCTTTCTTAAATTTCTTTCATAAACTTTCAGCTTGTGGCCTTACATCAGCAAATACAAAGTCATTGGAAAATGTTAATTACAAAAAAACAGTTAGTTTTATTGAGGAGGGGTATCGATTACAGCGATGAGTACCCATTCCCTGATTTAGCCATCAGTACTGTGCAGTGGTAAAGGGCTTGGGTTCTGGAGCCACACTCCCTAGGTTTATATTCCAGCCCCACCTCTCAGAAGCTGTGTGACCCTGGGTAAGTTGCTCTATTTCTCTGTGCCTTAGCCTTTTCATCTGTAAAGTAATGATAATATCAATCATCATTGTCATCATCAACCCTATCTCACAGGGTTTTGTGACTAAACGAGTAAATACACAAAAGCTTTGAGAATGGCGCCTGGCACAGAGTCTGTGCTGAATAAATGTTAGCAGTTACCGCCATATTGCATGCACATGATTGTTGATTTTTTCCTATTAAAATTATTCTTAACTGTATCCAGTAATGTAAAACATCAAGAATTCAAGGGACTACAAATTCTACAAGTTTTTAAGTCACTTCAAAGAAGAATAAGATGTAGGGAAATTTTTTTTGCTCTTTACCTTTCGTAGAAGCTTATCATGGCAACGCAGAAGTTCAAAGAAGAGCTCCAGCAAACTTGATGGATTGATAAGATTCTTGTTTCTCAGCAAGATCAAAGCTTTGCAAAATGTCTCAGGAAGGAAAAGAAAATACACTATAAGATAATGGTAAAGATAATAAGATAAGAAAGTGGAACATATATATCCCAAAGAGCTCAATGTCTTTTATTAACTAGGCACTTTTGTAGGCATCAGAACAGTCGCTGCCTTCATGGAGCTTACACTCAGGGTACAGAAGAAGAGGAAACAGACAAGCAAGTAAGCACATAAACAGGAGCATTTCAGATAATAAGTGTCCCTAAGGAAGCAAAACAGGGTAATATAATTGATAAATACTGACTTAGGAAGGGCTACTTTACACAGGGAGGTCAAGGAAGGCCTCTCAGGGGAGTGCCAATATACTACAAAACCCTAGTGATCAATAAATCCACAAAGATAACACAGGTGGGGCAACAATAACATAATACACTAAACTGGAAAGAGTATCCTCCAGTGTATTCTAAATAATTCTAAAGACCAATGCTAAATATACACACTCAAACCCTCATCTTAGTAAAGGAAATCTCTACTATTTAAAAAGAAAAAAAATAAACAAAAATCCTACTAATCATCATAAAACACTATATAGAAACATATACACAATTTAATAAATAATGCCTGCAAACCAGCTTGGTTGTATACTGTCAGTCATGCAAAACTTAAAGAAAATCTAATTACTTGCAAAGACAGCAATTCTCTAAACTCAAAATCTCAAATCTGTACAACCTACAGGGACCTGAAGAGTTACAAAAGATAGGTAAAAGCCTTCCAACTAATGGTTTGACTTTGAAACCCTGTGGGCTCTGATGCCAGGTCCCATAGCCCAGCTGAGTCAATCAGTTGAAAAGCAACTTTGGCTTGTCTAAGATGGTATTTTTCTTTTGGGCCTAACCAAATTAATAAAATCCTAGAGAGGTATAAATATGGCAGAATTACAAAAAGTCTGGGAAAATGTACGAATAAGACACCAAGTTGAATATACAGACTTAGCCTTTTTACAAGTTTTGGTATAGGATGTTAATATGTTTTGCAATCATAATATTTGTATAAGTACCTGCTGTAAAGGTATTTGAAAAATGGATGTATTAAACTTGAAACTGCCTTAGACTTAAACACCAAGTTGAATATACAGACTTAGCCTTTTTACAAGTTTTGGTATAGGATGTTAATATGTTTTGCAATCATAATATTTGTATAAGTACCTGCTGTAAAGGTATTTGAAAAATGGATGTATTAAACTTGAAACTGCCTTAGACTGGGTTTGCTAGAAACAGAGACTGATTCATTACAAGTGATTTGTTGACCATGTGCTCTTGGAAGGGAAGTGAAGGAAGATGTTTAGCCTAGAGGCTGTTCTCATTTATACACATATTAAGCGCACACAGAACACAGCACAATATATGGATCCAAACACTGGTCCTACCATTCGAAGATCTGGATCTAAGACGGCATGATTGTAGGAGAGAAGATCTTTCAGCTCTTGAGGAAAGTTACTTAGATCTTCTGGATAGCAGTGAGCAATCTGCAATAAAGCAAATACTCTCCTGAAGTTTCTTTCTCTCCTATAACTCAGGCACAGAATTAGGTAGTTCTGCAAAAGGAGAGTTGAAAGCTATGTTTCACAGAAGTAGATGGTTCCCAAATCATCTTCTTCTTGTACATGTTAATTTCTTGGACACTTCTCATATTTCCCCTAGTCTTCAAAAATATTTGTGACATGACTAAGAACCTGCTTGTATGATGAATTTGAAGAAAAAAAATAGTTTGAAGGTTTTGTTCTAGTTGGTTCTATGAAAAGATCTAGCAAAATCCTATAACTCACCATACAGAGAAAATAACATTTGCAAAAAGGGAAAGTTAAAAAAACTTTTAATTAAATTTTCACTCCAGGGGCTGGCCCGTGGCTCAGTTGGGAGAGTGTGGTGCTGATAACACCAAGGCCGCAGGTTCGGATCCCAATATAGGGATGGCCGGTTAGCTCACTGGGTGAGCGTGGTGCTGACAACACCAAGTCAAGGGTTAAGATCCCCTTACCAGTCATCTTTAAAAAAATAATAATAATAATTAATTAATTAATTAATTTTCACTCCAGAGGGAAATGAGGTTGAGTATTCCTGAAAAAAAATTCTGCAAATTGTGTGTAACACTGGCCTTTGTTTTACTCAGAAATTATCTTCTTACCTGTGCCATAAACATCACCAGCTCTGCCAGTTCTTTACTGGGTTTATTTGGTTGTAATTTGAAAATCTCCACATTGGATTTGTAGTGATTATATTGCTGTAGAAACTGTAAAAAGAAATAAATAAAATTTAAGTTTATCACATTCTATTATATGACTATCTCAGTTCAGAATGAAAAACTACTTAGTAAAAGTCTTTGACAGTGGCATGAAGAAAAGGATGCAGCAGTGTATAGAAAACACTACTTCTTCCTCACCTGCATTCTTCAAAATGAATTTCAAAAAATCTAAGCACATCACAGATAATCTGAAGATACTTTCCTTAGAATTATCATTAGAAGTTTACATGGTGTGGTGTAAAGAACAATGAAGCAAGAGTCAAAAGCTCAGATTTGGCCCTATTCTGCCATTTACTATCTAAATGACCTCTACTACATTATGTATGTAGAGCACTCAAATCAACAGAAAAATGCCAGGTCAGAAAATGTAAATTATATTGGGCCGGCCTGTGGCTCACTTGGTAGAGTGCGGTGCTGATAACACCAAGGCCACGGGTTCGGATCCCATATAGGGATGGCCGGTTCGCTCACTGGCTGAGCGTGGTGCTGACAACACCAAGTCAAGGGTTACAGATCCCCTTACCGGTCATCTTTAAAAAAAAAAAAAAGAAAATGTAAATTATATCTCAAGTACATGATGTTCTCCAGTCAAAATTCCCTCTTTTTAAAAATACCAATTAAGATCTTATGCCAGAGTTTGAGATAGGCTGTGTTAACAGCCAAGAGCAAGAGACACATGGAAATAATAACTTCCACTTATACAGCATATACTATGTGCTAAACTCATTATGTACACTGTCTCATTTAATTATGTTTGGACCTAACAACCACCTGACAAGCTAATGGTGGAATTCATCAGGCCTCAGTTCCATGCCCTTTAGCTACTCTCCATCCAGTGTTTTTAAGTTTTGTGTGTGTGTGTAAGACACACATAGACACACACACACAACACGTAAACACATTATGAAAAAGAGTATTTATTTATTATTAGCCCTAACTTGTCCAACGTACTCTGAATTCATATGTCCAGTCACCTGACATCTCTGTTTAAATATCTAAAAGAAGTCTTAAATTTAGCATGGTCAAAAAACATAACTCTTTATTTCCCCAACAAAACTGCTAGGCATCCAACTTTTTCTAAGAGTGGGATTCAACAGGGATACTTAAAGCCCCTGCATGTTTCAGATAAGACCACACCTCACCTGACTCCATACCTCCATTGAACAGGACAGAGGAGAGGGTCCCAGAACTCTTCATGCTCCTGACAAAATTCTTCCCCCTTTTCATCCCCTTCCCCACCCATGGCCCAGCCACCACTATCTATCTTCCTTAGATGATCAGGATTAATCTCATTCCTTTAAGTCCATCAGTCAACACAAAAGCCCAGGACTCCCAGGCTATCCCGCATCCCCTCACTCTAATCCCCATACCAGTGAAAACATGAAACTCTGGGGTAGGGCCAGGGCAGTCATTCTGATGATCTATCAGAACCCTGGTTCGCTCCTGACACACTGCTACACTGTTTTCTTTCCCTCAGCATGGCTGAGCCAGTAGGTGCCCTCCTTTTTTCTCAATGCTACTTCCAGAGCACTGGTGGCCTTCTGGATTGGTATTCGTTTCTCCTCCTTAACTGTTCCCAACCCCAAGTCTGAATCTTATGTCTCGAGACCCACTGGCTGCTTTCTCAGTCCCTTTTGCTAGTTACTCAGCAACTCACTAGCCTCTAAATGTTGGGGGTCCTCACAGCTTTCTCTACCTACCAGATGCGGAATCTAATCGCTTATTTCCTCCACTGCTACCATCCTGGTCCAAGGCAGCATCATCTCTTGCTATGGATAATTCCAACAGCCTCTTAACTGGTGTCTCTGCTTCTACCTTTGCCTTCCTACATACGGTCTATTCTCAAAACAAGTCAGGGTGATCCTGCTCTTATAAAACGTGGTTCATGTATTCTTCTGCTCAAAACCCTCTAAAGGCTTCCATCTCGATGGGAGGTAAAATCCAAAGTTCATAAAAACAGCCAGGCTCTGTAAGACACTACTCCATCGTACCTCTTATTACTTACCCTCTCTCATGCCCCATTTTGAGCCACACTGGCCTTCTTTATGTTACTCAAACCCACCAGGCATATTCCTGCCCCAAATAATCTTCTATTCCTTCTATTATATCTTCTATTCTTTCTGCCTAGATTGTTCTTCCTCTAAATGTATGCATAGCACTCCTTCATCTCCTTCAGGTTTTTACTCAAATATTATCATCCCCAAAAGATCTTCCCTGACTATCACATTTAGAATTACAACACCTACCCCATCCCCAACACATATACAAGCACTTTCCTATTTTTTTTCACAGCACTTTTCATCATTTGACATACTATATATTTTTATTGTATGTCTAACCCTACTAGAATGTAATTTAATGAAGATAAGATTTTTGTCTGTATAGCTCATTACTATAGTCCTAGTGCCCAGCACTGTGCCCAGCACACAGCAGGTAGGTAATCAATAATATTTATCAAATGAATGAACTTCAGTAAATAGCACTATCACCTACCTAGATGTAGAAATAAAAAATCTGAGTCATCCTTCATTCCTTCATTTTCCTTTGTCTTACTAGTGTTCTACCTCCATGCAGAATCGTCCCAGTCTGTTCACTTCTCTCGAATCCTGTTAATAATTCCAGTGGCACCACCATCCCTTACCTGGACTATTCCGATAGCCGTTACATTAGTTACCCTGCTTCCAGTCTTGCTCTTCTAAAATCCATCCTATATAAAACTTCCTGAGTAAATTCTAAAAAATATATATCAGACATGTCACTTCTCTGCTTAAAACTTTTTAATCACCCCTCAAAGTACTAAGAGTAAAACTGAAACTCCTTACCATGGCCTAAAAGGCCCTGCATGATCTGGCCCTTGCCTGCATTTCCCACATCACCTTCCACTGTCTTCACTACGCTTTAGCCACACTGGCTGCCTCTGCGTCTTTTCTACCAAGAGCTTCAGCATTTCATATTCCCTCTATCTCGAATGCTCTTGATCTGTAAGGCTCAATACCATCACCGCAGAGAAGCCTTCCTGGTTCATGGAGTCTAAATCAGCAGCCTCCAATTCTAACATATTCCTGTCAAGTTTTATTTTTTTGATAGTCCTTACCATTGTAAGTCCAGCCTCATTAGAATATGTCTCTCTTATTTGTCTTATTAATCACTGTACCCTCAGTGTCCAGAATTTTATCGACACACAGTAGATACCATATATGGGGATTTGCATATACTGTACTGACCTTACACAAATTGCGAACATTAAGGGTGTTTGAACCGAGAAGTCACAAAATCAAAGTGGTGATTTTGATATATTAATCTGGCAGGTGCTTCCTTCCAACACCCATTTGTCTGACAGGCATTACACAGGTATCTCTGCTGGGCATTTGCTGCAATTTCAGTATATCAAAACAATCACGATCAGGGCCTAATCTAATTATTCAACCTTAACCTTTTCCGAAGCACATTCTGACATCCAGATCATGCCAGCTTCCAGTGAGTTTGAATCCTGGCTTAACTGGATATACTAAGCTTCCGAGTCTGTCCCTTGCACTTGAGAACCTTCCCCCACCCCCGACTCCATCCCGGCACAGCCCAGGGCACAGAACCGGCTCTTGGAAAGAGACGTCGATCAAATGCATTCAAACATCCGATTCATCAAGTGTTACCGACTAATTCAAGTTAGAGTTTCTAAAAAGAAGAGGTTGAGAAACCTGTGTGGAACTTGGGGGAGGGCCATTTGTCTCTCTCTCCACCTCCGTGAGGCCGAGATAACCCCTAATCCAAAACGAGGCTTTTAAAGATGTCTCCACGGCAGTGGGGTCTACAGAGCAGGCAGAAAATCCAAAGGGGCAGCAGATTTCCAAGAGGTGGGGAACGAACTCTAAGGCACATCCCTTCCCCAACCCCTTCTTTCCTGCGGAGGGACCCCGGAACCTAACAGATAACACGCGGCGAGCCTAGATCCCGGCTACACCCCACGCCACCATTCTCCCCCACCCCCGCCGGTGTCTTCACCCATCCCCCCCGGGTCTTCAGCGTCTGCCACGCCGCACTCCCACCTCCTCGATGTAGGCCGGCGGGTCCCGCTTGATCAGATTCTGTAACTGCGGTAGGTTGCTGGGCAGCTTGTTATTGTTTCTGCTGGACATGTTGGCTGCACACTGGCTCAGCGGCCAACAGTTCTAAGAAATCTCATGAGGCCGACAGCTGCCAGCCCTTCTCAGCGGCAGCTCGGACTACTGTTTCCGAGGGTGGCCGGAAACAGCACGCGGACGCTGGGCAAGCGGGGCCTCACTGACTCTTAAGCGAGCTATACTACGGGAGCCTCAGAGAGTCAAACTTACTCTCGCCGAAATGCTCTATAGTGGATTAAGTAAGATCCCATTCCACGTGTTGGGCAGCCCCTGCTAGTACTGCCTACAGTTTCTGAAATGATCCGAATGTAAAATTGTCACGTATATTGACTTCTTAAGTCATCCTGACACCCCTATGAAACAGATAAAGGAGAATTGACAGTCTGTTTTTAACCCCACAGCCTAAAGGGCTGGAAAAAACATGGGAGGTAGGTAGCACTATTCCTATTTCAGAGAGGGGAAAAAAGAGAACGAGGGATGTGAGATAGTTTTTTGAGCAACAAGTAAGTTAGTTTTTCTGTATGATTTTAAATATTTGTTTTTATTTTGGTTTTTTGTTGTTGTTTCAACTCGAGATGTCCCAGACAAGGGAAAAAAAGTGTACTGGGTAAAATGTGATCATGCTGATCCGTTAAAAATGCAAATCAACATGTATTTAAAATTCAACCATTGTTGTTACCTTTGTAAGCACTCCTCAGCCGGAGTTTTTCATTCAGATCCCGGTAATTCAAAGAGGAGAATGCATTTCTACAATCTCAAGGAAGTTAGGGAAAGGCAAAAAGGTGTACCTCCTGGCTGAATCAGCCCTCCAAAAGTTCCGAACAACATAATACTTCTTCATTATTAGTCAGTACTTATTGAGATGACCAGCCCTACAAGGGAGATTGAGTAATAGTCTCTCAGCTGGGAATAGAAGAGTGTTGTATTTGAGATCATCTTGAAGGATGTGTATGGTATTGATATGAAGGGATACAGGGATACGTAGAGGACAAAGAAACAATTAGGACAGGTAGTAATCTTTATAGAGCTTATCAGTATCACTTATTTAAGGAGAACTTTGTGGTATTCCTTAGGAAATAACTTCCTTCCTTGAAACCCGAGGTTGTTGAACAAAGCCAATTCTCAGGCCAACCTCATGGCTTTTATTATTTTTGCCATGTGAAGGTATCAGCCTTCAACTGAAATTTTTAAATTGATGCTACTCTGTTTCTTCATTTGACCTTATCCAAAGCAATAGTATCTGGGAATGATGGATCTGGTGTGTTGATTATATTTTTTGAACACATCAAAATAGGATGAAATATTCCTCAGCCTATCTAAGGCCAACACATTGGCTTCTGCATGAGACCACATCCTTTTTTTTAAATGATAATGTATTTGTCTGTTTATTTTACAGCTTTATTAAAATATAATTGATATACATGAAAATACCAATAAAGTGTACAATTTGATGAGTTTTGACATATGTATGCACCCATGAAACCATCACCACAATCAAGATAATAAATTTATCCATCATTCCTAAAGGTTTCCTTGTGCCCCACCATCCCCAGACAAACACATCTGGTTTCTGTAACCAGACATGTCTGTATTTGCTGAAGTTCTAGACAAATGGAATCATTCAGTACCTATTCTTTTGTGTCAGGCTTCTTTCACTTAGCATAATTATTTTGAAATTCATCCATGTTGGGCCGGCCCGGTGGCGCACTGGATAGTGCGCCGCTTGGGAAGCGCGGCGGCGCTCCCGTCCGAGGGTTCGGATCCCACATACAGACCGGCTCCCGCTCACTGGCTGAGCGAGGCGCGGGAGCAACGCCGAGGCTTGTGATCCCGTTGCCGGTCCCCGGTCCGGTACGGGGGCAACACTGAGGGTTGCGATCCGTTGCCGGACACGGAAAAAAGGACAAAAAAAAAAAAAAAAAAAAAAAGAAATTCATCCATGTTGTTGTGTGTATCAATAGTTCATTCCTTTTACTCCTGAGTAGTATTTCATCATATACATATACCACAATTTGTTTATCCATTCACTTGTTGCTAAATATTTGGATTGTTTCCAGTTCTTGGTTATGAATATTTGTGTTCAAGTCGTCATGTGGACATATATTTTCATTTCTATTGGTAAATGCCAAGGAATGAAATGGCTGGATCATATGGTAGGTTTAAGTTAAACTTTTAAAAAACTGTCAATCTTTTGCTTCCACCATTCCCCCAAAACTGTTTTTAGCAAGGTCACTAAAAGGAGGCACAGACGAAAAACACACGAGACCTGGGCTGACAGTTCGCCAGAGAAGTTCCGCTTTATTCAAGGACTGCATGTATACTTATAGGGAGCTGCGTTCTGGGTTTGGATGGGGGTGGATGGGGCGGTAGCTGATTGGATGGGGCTGGGCAGAAGGTGAGCCTTGACCTGTGATTGGTTGTGGTTTGGTGCCAGCGGGCTTGGGTTTTGGCGCCGGCAGGCTTGTTTACTGTGGGGAAAAACCCAGAAGGGCGCCATATTGCCAGGGAGTGCCCCCCGCTTCAGTGCCCACAGCATCCCTACATTCCTCCCTTTTTCCTCTGTTGTGGGAATGGGTCATCGTAATCTTCGAGCTACTTCCTGCTGGAGGGGGGCGTAGTGGGGAAGAGGAAATTGGGAGGAGATAGGAGACCCTTTAAAGTAATTTCAAGGGGGGAGAATTCTAGAAATGTTCCCTGAAGCCACAGGTCAGCTATTTGTTGAGTCCAGTGTGTGTAGGAAGCCGTAGGGGAGAGCATCCAGGCGTCCGCAGCTAAAACCTCCAGGAACAGGGACCATTGGTGATGTAGATCCATTTAACAACGTGTTAGCTGATCCGTTGAAGAGTGGGTAGGGTCCTCTGTGGCCAGTAGTTGGTAATTCCTGAGTAAAAGCTGGTTGAAAGTCTGGTTAGAGATTTTACCAACTTGAGACTGGATGAACTTTATGATGCAAGGCAAAAAACATTGATGACAAGTTGGAGCGCGCCCCCTGCACCACGCCGAAGTATCCGGCCCCCTGCACCTATAAGTGGGTCGTGAATTTTGCATGACCACTATGGGCATCCCCCATAAGTTTCTGGCCACCAGTGGCAAGAAGATTGAGTCTGGTCAAAAAGAAAACATAGGGCCGGCCCTGTGGCGCACTGGAGAGTATGCCGCTTGGGAGTGCTGCGGCGCTCCCGCCGAGGGTTCGGATCCCATGTGGAGACCGGTTCCCGCTCACTGGCTGAGCGCGGTGCGGGTGCAACACCGAGGGTTGCGATCCCGTTACCGGTCAGTAAAAAAAGACAAAAAGAAAAGAAAACACATATATGGGCGGGAGGATTGAGAGGTTAGCTTACTTTCAGTAAGGGGAATGGTAATGGTACTTTGGCATCCAGCTACAGAACAGTCCACTGTGGAAGGGAGAGATTGGGTGGTTTTTCCTTGTTCCCCTTCATAAGTTTCTTGTGCTGTGAACCTCCAGGCATAGGGGCGTCCAGAGGCACCTACTAGGTGTAGCGAGAGAAACAGGATGATGTTAACGGGAGTGGTCATTGTTCCTGTACTGGAGGGAGACTTGGGAGTCGGGATAAGCGGAGCTTGAGGGGGTTAGAGGGGTGAGGAGTGCAGGCAAAGGTGTTAGTTTCTAGAAAGGGTGTGTCTTGAACTTGTAGGTCACGCGTAGGTTCCACGGGATCCGTTGATGAAGTCGGGAGGCAGGGTTTTAAACTAGAAATGTGGATCCATGGGGTTACTTGGCTGTTTGGAAGCGCAAGTTTGGCAGCGGTGGGGGTGCAAAGGATAGCTGGGTATGGGCCCTCCCATTTTGGGACTAAGGGGTCCCGCGGTTCGGGGGAGGTATAATAAACTAAGTCTCCCGGATGTATCGTAAGGGTGTTCTGTGAAGAAGTTGGGTTAGGAAGTAACCAATCTTGGTGTTTCCAAAGTTCGGCGCGTAAATGGGAAAGTAGGGGTATGGCTAAGCTGGAGGGTATACACCACTGTTTAGGGATAATACCTGGGGGGAGTGGAGGTCTCCTGTACATCACCTCAAAGGCGGAAAGATTGGTGGGTTTTTTTGGAAGAGCTCTGAGTCTGAATAGGGCCAGGGGTAAGAGGCGAACCCAGTCTAAGTGAAGTTCTAAAGAAAGTTTGGTGAGAGTGTCTTTTAAGGTCCGGTTTGTCTGTTCCACCTTTCCTGAGGCTTGGGGCTGGTAAGGGCAGTGTAAGTGCCAAGGTAGTGAGAGTGTTTTAGATAGACTTTGTATAATTTGAGCAGTAAATTCTGGCCCGTTATCTGACTGTATTGAAGAGGGCATTCCAAACCTTGGGATGATTTGGGAGAGGAGTAGGAAGGCGACAGTAGAAGCCCTTTTGTTTGTGGTGGAATAGGCCTCTACCCACCCAGAAAAGGTGTCCACAAATACCAGGAGGTAGCAGTGGTGTCAAACCGGAGGCATGTGGGTAAAATCAATCTGCCAATCTGCTGCAGGGATATTACCCCTAGCTTGATGTGAGGGATGTGGTTTGGCCTTTAAGGGGGTGTTAGTGTTGGTACGCTGGCAGATGGAGCAATTACGAGAGATTTCTTGTAAGAGAGTTTTATCGGCTAGGGTTAGAGGGAAGAAAGTTTGGAGGAAGAATGTCTGGAGTGAGAGGACCTGCAGTGGCGGCCATTCGAGCTGTATTGTCCGCTTTACAATTGCCTCGGGTTATGGGAGAGTTGTCTTTTTGATGTGCTTTACGATGGGAGACCCCTAACCATGTGGGTAGTCAATTCTGAATGAGGATCCATCAGTGAACCATGTGAAGTTGGCCTCGGGTAGGGGG